GTTTTCAGAGCCTCACATGGTGACTCACTAAGCATTTAATACTACTTGTTGAAAAGAAATGAATAACTGAATGAATGAATGAAGGGGAAAACTCAGTCCTGCACTGAAGAGGTATTCACGGTGGCCCTTAAACTACTCAAACCAGACATCTGCCCAGATCCACCAGACCTGAGCTGATGGGAAACTATTTCCACTTAGGAGAAGTGCGAAAGGATTTAATAAACAGCACGAGGTCCCACACCCCATCCCAGGACACCTCCCAGCACCATGCTCAAAACGCAAGCAGAACAAGACATTGGGGTGCAAAGAGCTTCTATCATGGACGTTTCTGGGAGGGACTACATACTTTGACCCCAAAGGACAAGCTATTATTCAGCAGTCTCAGAAGCACCAGGACCCTGCCAAGTCAGCCTTTCCTGAGTGGCATTGGCACCTCTAAAGCTGGGTCTGGGTCTGCAGGACCCTTCATGGAAGTGTTTTTGGGGTTCAGCATAGACAGGCACAGTCTGATAAATGTCATCTGCCTGATCTGAATGCCTCCGGTAGCATTTTTAAATAGGACAAGTGGGCAAAAAGCGGAGGCACTCATAAAGTGCTATGAGCCTCTATTTTGAATTCTCGGTGGTGTTCTTTGCAGCCTTCATCACAGTGTGTAGCTTTCCTAATTGGTTTTTAATCTATCTCCTCCACTAGGCTATGAGCCCTTAACAGGAAAGAGATTGTCTGTACAGGGTATCACCTGTGCCAGCCCAAAGCAAGCCAGCCTAGATTTATGTTGATGAATGAATGAATGGATGGATGGATGGATGAGTGGCAGCTGGGTCCTCTGAGGCTCTAGAAATAGGACTTAAGAGTCCAGCAGCCTTAGAAGGCAGGGCAAGATGAATAGGGAGGAGGCTTCCCAGGCAGGTGTCTGGCTACCAGTTCAACCTGGGACTACAGATGGGTGGCCCAGATACAGAGAAGTGTAGTGATATAGGCTAGGGTTGCCTGCACGGGGGCTGGGCCCACCTCCCCATCTCCAGATGACAAGATCTCAAACATTTATGATGTAGCCCTGCTGGTCTGGCCGAGGGACTGTGGTCCCCAACTTTAATGCATCTGAGCATTGCCCAAGGAACATGTTGGTTATGCAGATCCTGGCTCCACCCCTCAAACACTCTGATTCAGTAGGTCTGAGGAGGGGCCTTATAGCTTACATTTTCAAAATGTGCCCTAAGGCGTCACATGAGGAGACATTCTATCAGTCTAAGTCTGACACCTGGGTTTAGGGTCACCATCCCTAAGGCCAGCATGGTGATGTCAGCAAATCTGAGTGGAACTTCTCCAGCCCATGACAAGGGTTAGGGCTCTGCTTTGGA